CTAAGATCTCCTCTCTGAACGGCTTTCTCAATGAGGAAAGAAAGAGCGTTGCTCATGAGAATGAAGAGGAGTGGAGACAGAGGGTCTCCTTGGCGGATACCCCTCGTGGGGGCAGTAGGATTCCCATTGAAAAGGAGTCTGAACTTCACTGTTGAGATGCAAGTTCGTACCCAACTGCACCATTCTTCATTGAAACCATAAGCTCTAAGTAATTCAATAAGAGAATCCCATTCCACAAGGTCATAGGCTTTCTTCATGTCTAGCTTCATCATCATGTGTTCTGTGTCCCATTTTTGTGTTTTTTGAAAAAGTTAAGTACCTCATGCACAATAATAATGTTGTCCTGAATCTGCCTTCCCCCTGTGAAAGCTGCTTGAAGTTCATTGACCAGCTTAGGAAGCATGGGTTGTAACCTGCTGGACATGACCTTGGTGATAACCTTATACCTGAAGTTACAGCAGCTTATTGGTCTGAATTGTCCAATAGTCTCCGGGGCATCCACCTTTGGGATAAGGGTAATGTAGGTGTCATTCCAGTTGGGTGGCATCACATTTTTGGTGAAAAACTCAATGATTTCTTCGCAAAATCGGTCCCCAATAAGGTTCCAGTATCTTCTGAAGAAATGACCAGGAAAACCATCTGGGCCTGGAGCTTTGTTGGCTCCCAGTTGGAACACAGCTTTCCTGATTTCTTCTTTCTCAAAAATTGCATTCAGATCCCTATTGTCTTCCGGTGAAACCAGACGGGGGAAACCAGCAAGAGTGTCGTGGTTGTAAGGCTCTGATCTGCTTTTAAAAAGGTTGAAGTAGAACCCGCTAACGTGTCTCTCAAGATTCTGGTCACTGCTGATCCACCTTCCTTCTTCATTTTTTAATTTTGCAATTCGGTTTCTGCTTCTTCTTCTGATGGTACTAGCATGGAAGAACCCCGTGTTTTGGTCTCCCTCTTGGAGCCAATTGTTTCTGGAGCGTTGGAGCCAGAATTCTTCTTCGAGTTTCCAGTGTTTATCAAGTTCCTGAAGTAGCCTCCTTTCCTCTTCAGTATCCAGATGATCTCTGTTTGGCCCTTTTAACTCTTGGAGTCTGCGTCTTATTTCCTTTTCTCTTCTAATTTTGTCGGCTCTGTCCTTTATTGACCATCTTCGAAGGTCATTCCTGCATTTATCGAGGATTTCATGTATTTCCCCCCCCCCCTTCATTCCAGACATTGTCAATAATCTGTCTGCATTCTCCATTTTCCCTCCATCTTTTTATCAAAACGAAACGGTGTGTTTCGATCCTGTTTCTTCGGATGAAGGTCAATGCGGATGGGACAGTGATCGGATTCAATGAAGTCTTCGTGGAAAACAGTGGCCCCTCCAAAAAAGATTCTCCATGAAGCTGAGCAGAGGCCTCTGTCAAGTCTTTCTCTAATCAAATCGGATCCCTGTTGATTGTTGGTCCAAGTGAATACCTGGCCCGAGAAACCTAAATCGATCAAAGCATTCTGCGCAATGAAGTACTTGAATGGCTCAACATTTTCATTCCTCAGGGGGCATCGCCCCTGTTTTTCAAAAGGTTGCAGAGCAACATTCAAATCCCCTACTATCAACCAACTGTCTTCTGGGGAGCTCCTAAGGGTCGTAAGTCGATCCCAGAGATTCTTCCTTTCCACCGCCGTGGTGGAGGCATGAACAAAAGTACAGTAGAACTCTACTCCTTCCTTACAAATGCAAACATCCATATAGGATTTACAAACATCTATTACTCGAACCTCTACTTCCTCCTTCCACCAAAGAGCCAGTCCACTACCTTCTACTGCAGGGCTGACATATCTGGAATAATCAAACTTCATTGCTCTTCGTTTTTCCTCCAAGAAAGGGTCATCCTTCCTGGTCTCCATCAGAAAAAGCAAAGAAGGGCCAAACTGGCGGCAGAGCCTGGCGCAGTAGTTTCTTGTAAGGGATTGGCCAAATCCCCTATAGTTCCAGCTGATGATTCTCATTCCTTGTAAGGTGGCTTCAGGCGTGCCACCGCTGCCCTCGGAGAGTTTGATTCACCTTCCGGACTGATTACCTTCTGTTGTCAGTTCAACCATGCTTCTCCTCCTTATAGTGTTTCTCCTCCTCTGGTACGTCTTTTTGTTTTCCCCTGGCACAAAAGACAGAGAATCAAAAGAGATGTTAGTTGTGGACTCCATCTGTGGGATTGGGTTGCTTGAGCTTGTAATCTCCTCCGGTTTCCTCTTCTTTTCCGGTCTGGCCCTGATCTCCTCTTCTCCTGTGACAATCCCCTTCTCCTGTATTGGGATGCATCTCGGCTCCAGTGGGCTATGCATCGGGAGACTTGTGTTGGGCCCCGGGTTAGTTAAGAGGGCTTCTTCATGTGTGTAGCATGGGCTTGTGTAGCATGGGCTTGCCAAGGAGAGGCTACGACCTATTTCGAATAGGCCCGCCTCTTTGTCTTTGTTGTTTCCCCCTTCTCCCAGGTCAAGAGACCTTTGCATCGCCCTAGCAGTAGCTTCCATCTCCAGTTCCAGAAAGGAGGTTGGGACAGTCGCGACAGGTGCTGTGGTCGAGGCAGGCACTATGACTTCCCTCCTTTGGGTCCAGGCCGTACCTCTGATTGCTGCAGGCAGAGTCAGTGCAGGGAATCCAGGTGGGCTCGATGAGGATGCTTGGCCAGTCATGTGCAGTAGAGAGCTATCTCCTCGGGATCCGCGAATCAGTCCTGTTGAGTATCCAGTTAGGGTTGGTCGCCGAGCCTTGGCCATCTTCTCCCTGAACGACGCCGGCGGGGTATTCGCCGGAGAGTCATGACCCGCCTTCAATGCTGCTGTGTACACTTCCGATGGCTCAGTGCTTAGACCTCTTCTTCTGTGGTCTTCTCTGTACTGGCAGTTGTGGATCAGGTGACCCAATCTTCCACAGAAGTAGCAGAGGTCCATTATCCTCTCATACTTGAAGCTGACCCAGATAGAATTCTCCCCCCAGTGGGTACTCAAAACCAATGAGGATGGGCTGATCGAGCTGGACTTCCACCTTGGCTCTGATGAACTTGAGCCATCCTCTGAAATCGAGGTTCGACTGGTCAAGGCAGTGAAAGAATGGGAAGATGTACTCAGCCAGCGCTGGATCGCTTCATCATCCTTCAGGGACTGGGATAAATCGTGCATCTGCACCCACAGGGTGACAGTTTTGATATCATCTGCATCCGCCTTCTGTTCCCCGTCCCATTTCTTCAGGGCAATGAGGGTGTTGCTGAGGTTCCACGGTCTTGCATCGTAGACCGCATCTCTCTGTTGCTGGGATTGGAAGGTGTAGACGAAAAGGTTCTCGGCTTCTTTGGATGCTTGGACCTCCCCATATGCCCGCCATTTGCTGAAGGCTGCATTTCTAGCCTTGTGTAGGGGAATGCTCGAATCTGTGACCCACTTGCCTAATAGCGTAGACATTCCGCTACCTCTTGCTCCGACAATGGTTGGCCGGACGTTCAGGATCAAGTGGCTCTTTTCTCCCCTGAGATTCAGAGAGTTGTTCTCCATTTTGGTGTCTGTTTTTGTGGCTGGGTGCACTAAGAGAGGGTATGGGAGTGTTTTGCTGGACTGGTCTGTGATCTGGTTTTGAGGATGATGTGGTTCTTGTAATCCTTCCTTTAAATAGGCTAAATTTCCTTCTCGACTGAGTCTCTCCGTCTCCCTTCGGGCATTGAATGTTACTCCCTTTGCTGTTCCTCCCTTTCTGCCTCTTTCCTTCTTTGAGTATGTCAGCCATCCTCTTAATAGCCATTTATGGGTTTTGTCTGGCAAGACATTTATTCCTTCTCTGGAGAGTCTTCGTACCCTTGGGGCTTGATCTGCAGTTGGTTCCTTGTGGGTATGTTCTCTGCAATAAGTATAACCAGTAGTTGTGTGCCGCAGTCTGAGCTTATAATAAATGGAGATGATTGCTTGACGGCTCCCTCCTGTCTTTTTCTCAGGTGTCCTCTCCCTGCCTTTAATAAGGGGATCTTCTGCAGATCGGGTTAGTTGTGCCTCTATTGCACTAATCTTCCTTTTACTATCTGGCCCCTCTAGCCTCCATGCTATCTCAGACGAAGTATGAGCTAGATCGCTGTGTTCCCTGACTGGTTGATTCTCTGGTGGTTTGGGCGGTGGATTAAAAGCTTCTGGATGACTCTGTATCCCCTGCCCCGCCTCTTCATGGATGCTTCCATTGGCCTGGCTTAAAAGTTCCCCATAACTGCCCTGTCGTTCATACCTGGTGTGGATCTCTTTCTTGTGCTTCTGGTTGATATCGTATGTCAGATGGTAGACTTGATTGATTTTGATGGTGATTGAGATTGAGAGAGTCCTCTGGTGAGGAACATTGAATGCTCCGTTGCCGGCAGCTGTAGAAATCTTAAATCTTGAAACGGAGTTTTCCCGGAGTGTGTTTGGTCGGAGTGTTTCGGAGAGCATTTTTTGTTTTTCCCTTTTTGCTGCGTGCCTGTAGACCAACAAGGTTGATGTGTGAGAGATAGAGTTGGGCAGCCGAGTTGGGCAGCCGAGTTGGGCAGCCAATCGAAGCTGATCAGGCTAGACCTTTCCAGCAACAATATCAATGGGGCGGTACCTCAATGGAATTTGGAATCAACTACACTAGAAAATCTCTATCCAATGGGGCGGTACCTCAATGGAATTTGGAATCAACTACACTAGAAAATCTCTATCCAACAAGGTTGATGTGTGAGAGATAGAGATTTTCTAGTGTAGTTGATTCCAAATTCCATTGAGGTACCGCCCCATTGATATTGTTGCTGGAAAGGTCTAGCCTGATCAGCTTCGATTGGCTGCCCAACTCGGAAATCACCGCCGATAACACGACCGAACAATGCCACCCACCAGATCACAGGTTACACCAGGTCACTTGCAGCGATCGATGCTCGAATTCCATCTTACCGATTTTACGGAGTATGATGGGTTGAAATTGAGCCCCTGCCTGAATTGGTGCAGAAGACCAGCCGATCGCAAACACAGAAAGACACCCCTCTAAAACCTTCAACATTTATCAAAGACTTGTATTCTTAAACACCAGATTGCAACTCAGTTTCTCTAAAGTCTCAACACATATAACCTCGTCTTCCAAGGAAGAAAGCTAATTCTTAATGCAACTCAAAAACACATATATCTGCTATCACGCTTCACAGATACAAGAAGATGAAGTTTGAAACAAAACCTCGTATGCAAATACTGAGGGCGAGTCATCCATGCTAAGACTGGAAAATTCGTCTTCGAGAGGTGTGTGCATAAAGATGTCTTGAAGAAGAATCAATAATCCAAGAAGCGTCTTACAGTTAGTCTGTTAATGGAGAGTTAAGATTCCTTTCCATGCACCTCCCTGCAACTGCTATTCTACCATCCTGTGTCTATTTATCAAACTCCCATATCACTCCTCCATCCTCTGCAAAAATGTTCACAGCACAAAAGAAAACTCCATTACAAGAGGAATTCAAGGGAGATCATGTACCAAAATCATTTGCCATATGCCAACAAGGATGATAACTAATCACCATCAGAACTTTGTACGAAACAATTAATACAGTTTCCGAAAGCAAGAACACCTTATTATGAGAGGTGACTAAGTGATGAAGAAGATCAACAAACCTTTGACTTTCTTGTTTATCCACATCTCCACCAGCATGCCAGCACTAACCCCACCAACAATGCATGCTCCATAGAAGCCGATCGCCGAGGGCCAAGACATTCTAGGAAGGAAATAGCTCTCGGGGATTTGCCTGATCCTTTTGGGAAGCCGCTTCTTTACAGCTTGCTTTGTTCCAGCACTTGGGTCGTTTTGAAGCTCCGTGCCTATCGCTTTCCAATCCACTCCTTTCAATGGATCCTTAGACTCTTCAGTCCCCATAGCTACTGGTAGCAAGCTTAATAAACTTGGTCCTTTCAGCAAGTTCAACACTGAACTCCAATAGTAGAGACCTGAGACTTACTATATGAAGCCGAGTTCAAAATTAAGAGATCGTCAAATTGAGGGTCTAAAAACGCAGAATACATTCATCGATACTGCCCACTTAATTCCTCGCAACAATGGAGAAATGAAATAATAGGTTTTGCCAAAATTAAGATAAAGGTCAGAACTTTGGAGGGGAATTGGAATTCTCTCAGACAAATATTCGATTTGTCGTCATGGGTTTTTGAAGAATGGGAATTACTGATCCGAATCTTCATCATTGTTTGTCAAACATGACCAAGAAATCAGAAAACCCCAATCTACCCAAACTGATTTAGAGAAATGACGCTAAACCAGAAGGAACAAAAATCATAATTGCAGCCACAAGTTACTGCCAAAGACTAAGGAGTTACCTCTAATGAAAATATGGAGGTGGGCAGCCGAGGATTGAGTGACCGGCGAGGAGAAGCTTGACTTCGATCTCCGCCTGCTGGCTTTCTGGGTTTAGGGTTTTTGTGGTTTTCAGTCGATGCACGCTGTGCAGAGTAATCTCCTCTTGCGTGATAGAATCGACCGGACCAGAATAAATCCGGTTCACCTAAAAACGGCCGTTTCGACGCAAGCTCACATAGTTCGGTTCACGGGAGAAATGACAATGGATCAGATTGGGTCGTGTTTTTCTAAACACAAATCCAACCGATTCATTTAACCAAGTTAAATGATCACGGGGTTTAGAAATGAACCAATTCAATAGGCATCCATCAATGCGTGCATTGTGTATGAGTATCAATGAGTTCACGAAAATAATTATGTACGATTTTTTGTGAACACCCCATCATAATATTAATTCCTTTAAATATATCGTCGTAAAGACTACTAACAATCTAACATCCTTAAAATATATGTATCATTAGGTTTATATTGTCATAATGACTAATAACATCCACAAACTATTTATATTATTCAGGTTAGATACAAAATGATATCGCTTTGCTTTATAAGTGTGGGTTGGCGGAAAACAATTTGGGTTTTGACGAAACCTAAACTCAACCCAAATTTCAAAGTGGATAAAGCTCCTGACCAAACTAACTGTTTGATAAATTCACCATGAAATCCAGAGTAGTTAACTGGTAGTAACTAGTAACTTCACCCGTTCAAACCTTTCCATTGGTTCAGTGCAATTTAATCGAGTAATAACGACTCCGCAGCTTCAAACCCAGGTCCACTACAAACTACCAACAAGTATCTTCCCCTTTCTTCTATTGTAGCAAACACCACATTACAAAGTAGACAAGTTAGTCAGCACTGGATCTTGAAACCACTTGATAATATTATTCCATCCAAGACATAGAACCAACATAAATTTGAAAATACCAATAAAAAGGAGGGAAACCAGCATGCATAAAGCTGAAAAATGGATCAAACCAACTCTACTGTTCTTCAACTGTAAGCTTCCTATGTTTCCCAATCTTTATCCTCAGAGCACATGGAGGACCAGAGACCACACAGGGTAGACTATCAAAAGCACGATCCCTACGGTGTTCGATATCCCATGAGACTGAGTGAAAGAGTTTCTGAACCCACCAGAAGCCCTAATGTGTTCCTGCAGGAGATAGCAGCCAATGGCGAGGCATATCGCCACCCCAACCCAGTCGTCCTTCAACGTGTGTGCGAAGAAGTTTGGAGCAACCACCAGCAGAAGAATCAGCGATCCAGGCATCTCCAGCCAGTCTTTGTCCGCGTTCCATTTTGCATATTCATATGGGAATCAGTCATTAGAAACAAAGCTTAACTTCAATTGTATCAGCAAAATATTGTACATTTCTTTTAGGGAGTACCTGGGAAGTGTCGGGGAAAGAAGAGTCTTAAGACGACTGCAATGAAAGCAACCCATTTCCCAAAGTCTCCTCTAGATAGACAAAAATAGGGATTGAGATAATGCTTTGAGCAGAATACAATTAATGAATGAGAAACCGTGAGATTGGATTGCATAGTGTGCGGAATGTGGTTCACCTCAAGAAGTGAAACAATGTGGAAGGAAGGCTGAAGAAGATGTAAGGAACTAAAAGTGAAGTGAGCATGTTGGTTCTCCAGTTGGTTCTGTCCAAGATCAACAAGTAACTGCAGAAATCCAGATACCAAATAAGTGAATAACGAATCACCAGTTTGCAAAATATCCCACTCTAGAAAAAGCTATTCCATGAAAGCTATGGATCCTATTAGGCCTTTGTTCCAAAATGATCAATCATCACTAAATACCAATGAAATGTTGAACACCGTTAGTTGCGCGTTGGTAAGGAGTTGAAAATCGCAGATTCAGTAAATCTTACTTTTGGATTCAAAAAAGCATTGCCACCACTTTTGGGAGCCAAATTGGCAAATGTGTCTCAGAATATAAGTATGATACAATTTGCCAACATCAAGGTACTTAATTAACCCATTTATCAATTTCTCGCAAGATCTCATCCATGGCCAGAGCAAAGATAAACTAATATGCGACGAGACGAAATCCCTTCTGTAATAGATTTCTAGCTCTCAATCCACATCCAGAAAACAGATACGAAATTAGATAGTTGCAGCAATGAAAAAAACACCCAACAAAATATTCACATTTCTGTCTCATTGATCAAACAACCCGAATTCACAAAATGGGGAGTAAGTTAAGGGCAACGCTCACATGGCGGCAAACGAGGCGACCCATTTGAGGAAAGAAGTGCCGAAACCCAACCCACCGAGCTTCGCAGCGTCCTTGACGAGTTTCTTTGCCGCAACCTTCAGCTCGTCGATATCGGACTGGATCAATCCCGCCGCCGGCGACGCTACGTCCTCCGTCCTCATTCTCAAGAACTCCGGCCTACCCATTGTCGATTAATCTTCCTCCGGTCCTCTGTATTGTAGATCTAAGCAAGCAAAAAAAAACCCAGAGAAATTGATGAACAACAGCAACCAATTCACAACCAATATTCTGAATCCGCTTCACCATAGGAGATGGGTTAACTAGTTTTTACCTTTTGGCGGAGCTTGCTGGCGGTGGCTGGAGCGAGAGGCGATTGGATGGATGGAGATTTGGTCTGGACGGAGACTGGTGGACAGAGGCTGCGGGCGGGCCCTTTGGTTGCAGCTTTCTTCGGAGGTCTCTGTAATAAGGGTGAGGATGGCACGTGGCGTTTACCCTTTTCGCTTACGACTTACGAGGACTTAGAAGGAAGCCACGTGGCGAAGGATGCGGAATCTGAGTTTTGATGTTTTTTTTGGTGAGGCTTGAAGGCCCATTGTTGGAGTAGTGAGCTGGGTGGGCTTTTAGTGCTACCAACTGTTTCTATTGGGCTTTTGGTGCCTTCTGCCTTTACAATGTTTCCTCCCTATAGCCTTATGCCTTCTGCCACTTGATCCGGTTTTGCTTTGTGGGTAATTTAGTAGCCGTGAGCATCACCGACGCATGTATGGTTGACTAATTTCGGTTTTGTTGCAGGTGATTGGTGCTGTAATGGTTCCCGTCTCAATCGGCTTGGAGATCATGCATATTCAGTCGCCACCATCACCCCGTTCCAATCATCTAAGGAAGCCGTGGGTATCTCCCACTCGTGTAGATCTTGTTCGTGCTCGTTGTTTGTTCAATTTTTTCATTCTATATTTCTGGGTTTCGTGTTTCCTTTCTCGTGTTCAGTGTTCATTCTCACTTTTCTTTCATGGACTTGTTGAGCTTTGGTTCGGCTCTGGCATTCCAATATTATCAAAGGTCTAGGTTATCGACTTAATCATTCTTTTTTCAACATTTGTGGGTCTCTTTATTGTAGTAGTTTTTGTAGCTATTGTTTGTTCATTTCGTTGTGTTGTTTATTGTGTTCTTCTTTCACTGCTTGACAGTGGTTGATGTCTTTGTGTTCAATATGTTGTGTTGGTGATTGTTTAGTTGTTTTGTTTGTGCTTCAGAATTGTGCGTGGCTTTTACCCCTATTTTGTCATGTGTTATGGTGTGTTTGTCTGGTTTTCAGATATACCCCTCTCGAATTGTCAAGCAAGAGCCTTTGTAGAATGGACGAGAAGGAAGAGTTGGTTGCAGGGTTTCAGCTGGAGGGCGATGCAACGTCTTCCACTCCTATGCAGGGTTTCTTTGATGTGGCTACGTCCATGGAGGACGAGGCGACAACTGTTCTGCGTCTTGGCTTGGTGGCAAGGAAGGAGTCCTTTTGGTTTCGTTGGGTGTAATGGTTTTAGAGTGGCTCATTTGGTGGTCGTTTTGGCTCTGATCTTGTCACTCTGAATTCTTTTGGGGTTTGACTTTGTTTTTTGTTTGCATTGTAGACAAATTTCATTGTAAATATGTAGATCTTTGTTCCTCTTTTTCAGAGAAGATCTAATGGAAAAAAAAATGTCTATACGCGTAGTACATGATAAATACCTCGCTCTTGCAGATCATTCCAAACCTCAGTCACTGTGTTTAGCCAAAGCACACTCCAAGAGAAATCAAACAAAAGATCCAGCCAAGGAGCATCACTTTGCACTGCTCCCATGCGGCGAAGAGATCATCATCGTCATCAAGCGAAAGGCATCGCGGCAGTAGAGTCGATGAAGAACAATTTGTTCTTTGAAAATACGCTTGAATCGCATCAAGTAGGATCCGGAATGGCAGCTTGATCCCATCGAGACGACGAGCACTAACTAATTTGTTGTCGAGTCGTTCTTGTCAAATTATTATGGAGTGATTGACAACAAAAATGGAAGTAGCGTGATTGGAAAGTTGGAAAGGAATCATCGTCATGTCTCGATTGAGAGAAGGGAGAAGAAAAACTACAAAAGAAACTTACGGGGAGAATACGAAAAGGAGAAAATTATTTTTCTGATACAATGTTTGAAGATAAATGTACACTTTTTTGAGTTATTGTGATAATTATACTAATCACACAGGTCCAAACTACTAAACAAACTAATAATTACATTTAAGTTCCTAAACTAGTCATAGTTTGCAACTCTTGTCCAACAACTTGAACACAATATTATTGAAGTAACTTCGGCAAAGAAGAAAGAAACAAACACCCATGTCCCGTCACCTACTCTCCTGGTCGATACGTAAGTGTGACAACGCACTCTCAAATCCCCAGCAGATGAGCCAATCGGCCGCAATGAAAATGACACATTAACTTCCAAAAAACAACCATTTCTTTCTGACTCTCAGAACTTAGAAGTTGGGTCCAAATCAAGTCCCTTAGGATCAATAGGGGGGATAATTTGTCCAAATCAGCGTGCATTAACATCCTCTCTTTTATAAAAATCCTTTAATCTTTAACAAAAAATGTCTCTCTCGTTTTAATTAGGAAATTATATTTTTTTCAAGATAAATCATATTAGTTGTGCTCTTCAAAATAATATCAACTTTGATATATTTTTAGAACAAAAAAATTTTGAGGCATTTTTTACGAGTCTATACCATATGATATTGACTGGTATTAAATAAAAGCATACAATATGATATGAAAATGTAACATAGTGGTATGAACATACGAAGATTGTAAGATGGTTGGATACATGATAGTTGGAGTATACTAACTGTCGTTTACGACTTCATTGTATATCACAAGTTACCACCCCTACTAGGGTGGTATAGTATGGTATTTTTTTGACCTGTATTTTTTTCACCCATAAATTTGTAGATCAAATAGATTATGATGAACTCGTTCCCTCTGTGCAAATATTTTCAAAAACGACTTAAAACGAATGAGATACCATTTGGTATGTAGTTGGTAATGAGTGACATGGAAAAAAAATTCCTGAAAATATTGAAAATTGATATCTTTGTAGGGCACAACGAATTCGTTCATCTGTGAAAAAAAAAATTTGAAATCCGAGTTGGAACGAAAAAGATAAGATTTGATTAAGAAAACTAGGGAAAATAAAATGTCTTTAACTCACAACCCCATAGATATGAATTTTTTGAATCCACTTAAATCCAAAAAGCTAAGAACCGATTAAGAAAACTAGTAAAAATAAAATAGTTTTAATTCACAACCCATAGACATAAAAATTTTGGACCCACTTAAATCCAATGTTACTCATGGGTGAGTAACCAATGGTTGGTACAGCCGTACAGACCATATATGGAGCCTAAGAAGTCGGAACCAAATGTGGCAACAAATGGAGAAGACAAAACTCTGAGTAACCCTAGTTGCCACGTGACGCTACAAGAAAGTGTAGTTGTATGATATTGAACTTAAGCGGTCTCATTGCACGAAATTTTAGCTGTTGGTTCTCCTTAGCTTACAGAGGAGGATATAGATTATTTTTTTGACAACATGTGGCATCTTTATTCCAATTCGAACAAGGGGAAACATAGTTTGTTACAGCAGTGGAGAAACAAGATCACCAATTACAACCCAATATCTCGGAAGAAGGTCAAGTCTAGCATATAGATAATGTGGCTGAATTCCATTATATGGAAGATTTTGAAGGTTGAAATTTTAAGTGATGTATTTAACAAGGTTCAAGAAAGCGCTAGGCGTAAAGCGAGCGTCAGGCTCTGCCTTGCGCCTAGCATGCTTAGGAATTGCCTAGGCGTGCTTAAGCGTTAGATGTAAACGTAGTATAAAATCTCCCACTTACCTATAATCACAAGTTTATGAACCAAATATCATCGCATCTATTTCTCATTTCTAAACTTTCATCAACAACACATGGTAAAACATAAAACATAGTTTGGAGAAATGAGTAAGGAAGAAGAAGTTGGAAAATAGCCATGCATATTGAGACGAAGAAGCGCAAAAAGCTACTCTATATATGGTCGTCTCTAACTATATCATAGTCTGAATATAGAGAAATCGAGAACATACATCCTAGGAGCATATCAAAAGGTAGAAAAAGACATCATGACATCATTTTGAGGCACAACTCAATGCCAACTAGGCGCCACTGAGAAGTGATTTTTTGCGCTTCTTGAGACATCATTTTGAGACATCATTTTGAGGCATCACTTCTTGATGCAGGGCAGCTTGAAGCCCAGTTGGAGGAAGCAACATTGTTCGAGAAAGGAGTCTTTGCCGTTAACGACGGTCAGCTGGAAGCATGCATTACATGGACATTATTATTTGTTTATTTTGTTCCTTTTAAGTTTGGATTGTCCTATAAGGACACGGTTAGCACAAGTAATATTTAAACACCCTTTGTTATGTTAAAAACTCAATTCTTTTTTGGCTTTAATCAATTAAACCTAAGGGTTTGTGTTCTTTGGTGGATTCCGGAGGTGTTATTCGTGAAGCTTGCAGCTGGCAGGCTTGTTAATATTCTTGTAGATTCGATGCTAGCGAGTCCATTTGGTTTCCGACTGCATCAGGTGGTATCAGAGCCACGCTTTCTCCTGCATCTTTTCGTAGCTTGATAAGCCATGGGAGATCAACCAGTCACACGTGCAGACATAGAGGGTATTACTACGGCTTTTACTGCAACCCTCAACACCCTAACGACACAAGTCAACACGTTGGCTGAGCGATTCAACAACAAACTGGAAAGAGCCAACGCCGCCCAGGAAAGGAGAGAAAGAGGTCGGAGAGACGAGCTTATGCGAGAGGAGCCGCTGAGAAGGCAACACGGTGGCGAGGCAGCGCGCGTTGATTCCGACTCTAGCTCAAAGGAGGACATCGCGGATGAGAACACGGATGACGAAAATCAACATCACCGCGACGACTATCGGGTGAAGGCCGACATCCCATTGTTCTATGGGACTACGGGAATTGAGGAGTTCTTGGACTGGCAAATCGACGCCTATAGGTTCTTCGATGTGATGGGAGTACATGAGAATAAACAGGTTAAGATGGTGGCTATCCGACTGAAGAGCATCGCCGCCGTGTGGTGGGATAAATTAGTCGTTCAACGACAACGCCAAAGGAAGGCACCAATTCGAACGTGGAGGCGGATGAAGCACATGATGATGGAACGGTTTTTACCCGATGACTATGAGCAAATCCTGTACAAGATGTACCTTGACTCCGTACAAAGAAGGAGGAGTGTTACTAAATACACAACTGAGTTCTTGTGTTACGTGGAACGCAATGAACTGGGAGAGACGAAAGGCCAAAAGGTTGCTCGCTGTATCAATGGTATGAAGAGCTCGATCCAGTAAAAGAGGGGTTTGCAAACTGTTTGGACCGTTACGGAAGCCTCCACATTAGCACTAAAGGCTGAGTTAATGGATAAGTCCCCTAAGTCTTAATCCCCTTTTCGCAGGTTCCCTCCGCCGGTTAATTCTGAAGTTGTAAGTGACAAAGAGAAGCTAGTGAGCACGAGAGAGAGTCCAACCCGATGACCAAAAATAATGGTGGAGCTACCAACTCCAACCAAAACAAGGGACTAGCTCCAAAGGCGCCTAACCCGTACGCGAAACCCATGGGAGATAAATGTTTTCGCTGCGGCGGTCAGGGTCATCGCTCCAACTTTTTCCCGTCCAGGAAGACTGCGGCAGTTGTGACTGAAGATTTGGAGGAGGAGGAGGAGGATGACGAGTATGAAGGAGCTGAGTTTGCTGAGGAAGATTCATCGGAGGTGCTGAATATCGTGCTGCAAAGGATACTTTTATCAACTACAGATGAAGGACAGTGAAAGAATCTTTTCCGAACGCATTGTTCCATCAACAACAAGCTATGTAACCCCATCATTGACAATGGAAGTACCGAGAATCTGGTCTCGCAGAAATTGGTAACGTACTTGGAGTTACCAACTGAACCACACCCCAAACTGTACGCGTTGGGATGGGTAAGCAAAGACCCACAAGTTAAAGTTACAAGAATGTGCAAAGTACCCGTTTCCATTGGGAAATATTATAGAGAAGAGGTCATATGTGACGTCCTCAATATGGACGTGTGTCATCTTCTTCTCGGTCGGTCATGGCAGTATGATAATGACATCACGTACAGAGGAAGGGATAATGTGATGATATTCTCATAGGGAACACACAAAATCGGCATGGCCCCGATTTCTGGGTTTGACAAGAAACCAGAAAAGTCAAAGTCCAGCTTCCTCACTATGGCGCAAGACAGGAATTGTGGGAAGCTTGCAAGGGCGTTGAGTGGATCTGCCCCGTGGTGATCAAGGGCCTTTTAAGCACCGTGCCAGATGCGCCATCTCCCCCATCTGAGGTCGAGGAGGTTCTATGGGATTTCGAAGATATAACATTTGATGACCTTCCCAACTCGTTGCCGCCAATGTGTGATATACAACTTAACATTGACCTCATTC